CTAAATAAATATTATTACTTTATAAATCTTCATTTTTTATTTTCTTACTTTGTTAAAATATTGTATTATTCTCACTAAATTAGGAGACACTTCTTTCTTGTCCTGTCCCTTGTAAGTCAAATGTCTCAACAATTCACTGCAATAAAACAATGTAGCAATAATTAAATACAATATTAAATAATGTTGGACTCACTCATTTTCTATTTGGCAGAAGAGGATGCTGTCAATGTGACACAACTGCTCTGCTACTTGTCTTGGTTGCCATGTCAAAACAATCTCATAAGAAGACTAAAATAAAAAATGTTTTAATAATAATCACTTTTAATAAGAATAATTTACTAGTTGTTCTCTTTCTTGTGATAAATACTGCAGTACTGCCACAGGCTCTGAGTGGTCATTTTTCTGCATCATGTACAACCTTGAGAGCAGAAAGAAAGTAAATCTTAATTTAATCTAAATGATACACTTACTGTGAAACTTCCATGATGACTCTCTTTTCTGATGATGTAAGTGTTGGTTCATGACAGGCAGTATCCAGGAGTTCTTGTAATTTAACATCAAGTGATTTACAGTCTCTGAAATGCTGTTAAGAAAAAAGATCATTAGCATACACTATAATAATCTCTGCTATTCATCATAGTTGCATTTATATACATGCATTTTTATTATAAGCATACATTGTACATGAACAGCTTTTTAAAACTGATGCATAATGATCTCTGCCATTATACTCCATCATCTCTCTCTCTTTCATTGGCCTCGCCTACGCGAGGTATAGGTAGTTGTTGTGTGTGTCTGTCATTACCCGAGCCCACGCGTAGGCGCCCCATAGGAAGCGAGGGTAAAGCAGTCGTCCTGTCTGTGTGTGTGTGTGTTCGCTTGGTCTCCACTTTTGAGCTGTGTGACACTGCTTTCTTGTCTAGTCCTGAAGAGTCTTATAATCAACACTGGCTCTAGAAAAAGTTATTCTCCGTCTTGGGAATGCTATACTTTTCTTTTCCGTGGAGTAAGAAGCTGGCAAAGTCGCCAAACGTAGGTCGGTTCCCCGACAACTTTTTCATAGTGTGAGCAAAAGAGCAACTGGGCAGATAAAACAATAAAGCAAAGCCTCATCTTTCATTAATATGAGAGGAATTGCTCTAATCATCTTCGTTTTAAAGATATGGTAGCCCAAAAATTCATACTTTTGTGAGTTTACACGAGGCTCTCTTCTCCCGAAGTAGCGGCCAGAGTCTTTAAACATCAGGGGCTCAATAGACGTTTGTATGCAACAAATAGAGCCTAACAAATGTATGCTAAACTGTTTAAAAGTCAAGAAAAACTAAAGCTTTCTTCACCACTTAGAGCCATGTGCCACCATTACTGTGTGTGCGGGTGGAGCATGTCTTGATTGAGCCACACCTTCATTGCAGCCACACCTTTACATTGCTGCAGCAGTGCAGTGCAGCAAGCATGCTGGAGCTTCTTCTCTGTCTAAAAAACAAAAAAATCACTGTCTCATAACATTCACTAAGTTTTTACATGCTGAAGCTTCTTTTCTGTGTCAAAACTTTCACTAATTATTTTTCTGTTAATTTATTAAAATTGTTACACACAGACTGTGGCGAGGGTATGCACTTTAGTGCTCTCGTTCATTCATTCATTCTGTACAACTGAAATTTGTTTTTAATAAACAATAACTTTAGCACAGCGTGTTCTAAGCTCCCAGATCTTTCTTTTTGACGTGGAAAAGTCTTTCTTAACTGTTTTGTGTTGCTCAAATACAAGTGCTAGGTACAGAAGCTTCAAAGTAAGAAAATCGAGTAGTTGGGCCAAGTTCCGTTGTGTTGGCACTTTAGAGATAGCTGGTAGCATTTTTCAGTAGATTAGAACATGGCCTTCAAAACTTATGAACAGATTTCTCTAAATCTTACTTGATGAAGAGTTATACTTACTTGAAATTGTTGAGGTCACTCGTTTGTGCAGCGCTAGAGCAACAACTTGTTGGGTTATAGGTACTAAAGTACCTATACTATCTCAAATATACAAAGGCAGCAACTTTTTTTGTCAGCAAGTTTATCATATATTGCTGATTAGTAAAGAAAAAGTGAAGCTTCTTTCTCACATGGTCTTCTTGCTGCCACTCATTCCAGTCATGGAATGCCACACCTTTCAATCTACATGCATGGGAGGGGCTGGAGCTGCTTGCATGTATGTGCTGCAGTGCTGCTACTTCTGCAGGTATTCAAGAGCAAGTGCAACTGCAGGAAGCTAGTGTTGAGCAGACTCTCTTCATGCTGATAATCAAACAGTTATTGAAGTGCGGGCATGCACCATAGCAGCTATAGGGGCGAGGCCATGCACCGTAGGTGTCTCGTTTCTTACATAAAAGTGTTTGCATATCCAGTGCTTTAATGCAAAGAATATTCCAGATACACTTCCACTGTCACTGGATGAGCCACCATTGACCTTTCCTTTATTACTAGCATTGCCACTGTATGAACAGGTTGGTAATGGTGATAGTCTGGGATTATTCCCTGGGAGTGTCGTTCTGTTTGATGCTGATACATGGACAGGAGTAACAAGATGCTTACCTATTGAAAGAGAATCAGAATACAGGTTTATAATACTAACATTAATGGCTTATCTATGAAAATCATTATTAAAATTGTATTATTATGTTTATTTTAAAGTATTGTGAAGTGTCAATATCTTACTGTGTCTAGTGCAGTCTTCAGGAGGTAAGGAGAGACTCATAGACTTTTTTGCTTTCTCCTCCATACAATGATGATAACTCTATAGTTAATATAACAGTTACAATATAACTATTGTTTATAAAATTAACACTATCAAATCTAATTTTATTATCAGAGACCACAAAACCAATACACAAGGGCTATAAAAATGTCTGACTCTAGCTACAAGCTTTATTACTTTCCGACTAAAGGAAGAGCAGAGCCAATAAGACTCCTATTTGCCTACAAGGGAATCAAGTATGAAGACATTCGTATCCCTGGAGAGAAATGGGCTGAATTCAAGTCTCAAACACCTTTTGGATCAATGCCTGTCCTTGAAGAGGGAGGGCAGAGGCTAGGAGGGAGTAATGTTATATTGCGGTACTTGGCAGAGAAGTCAGAGTTCAATGTTGCTGGTAGCAATGACTGGGAGAATGCTTGGCTGGCTAATATTGCTGATTTTATCAACGACTTTGCAAACGAGTTTGTCAAGTTTGCGTTCGAGAAAGACGAAGAGAGAAAAAAGGAATTAGAAGCAAAGTTT